TTCAGATATTCGTCGGTCCGTCAGCATCCGCAGTTCCGTACAAAACAGGTACACACTGAATGAATAGTGGCGGGCGAGCGTGCCTGAGTGCTTCATCTTCACGGGAAGATCCACCACGTTCAAGAAATACTTCGGTACGACGTGCGTACACCAGTCCACAGGATGGAACGCTAGGAATTCCTCCGTCGTCAACTGTTCGAGGTAAGCGGCTCTCTTTCATTTCCTCACGGTTGTAAGAAAGAGGCATTTTTTAGACGGAGTTGAGGCAGGTAAGAGAGCAGCCAGCGGTCTTTTCATAGTCCTTTTTTGTGAGCAGTTAGCACCAATGCAGATTGTATCAAAAAAGACCATAGTCGATTGTTATTTCAGTAAGGTGGGGGCCCCCTTGGCCTCCTACAATAGCTGGGAACCCGCTTCGGCTCAAAGAACTCTTCACCCACCCGGAGCCCTTTCCTATCTGGGTTTGACGAAAATTCACAGTCTCCCTTTCCCATGTTCTTGTTCTTCCTCTTACAAAGCGATAACTGCCACCTCTGGTTCACTAATCATTTCTCCCGTCTGAAAAAAAAATCGGAAAACGCGGCGTACAAACTGAAGCCGTGATAAGAAGTAGCCTATGAGTTCTGGTGGGCGGAGCAACTAGGTGGGCGTCAGAACTGGCACTTATGAGAGCCGCAGCGCCTTCGCTGCTTACTGTGAAGCTACCAAAGTGGAAAAGCTTTAGAGAATGAGGGCTAGACTTTCGTGCAAGAAGGACGCCTGCAAATTGCTTGAGAGCGGAGACTCCCCTCTATACCGTGGATTTGTAGGGCTTGCGTTACATGTTCTTTCGTTCAGGCAATGGTAGTCGCAGGCGCTGGACGTATAGACAGGAGCCACCACAGCACGTGTCCCACATCACTTGTGCTCAGGTAATTTGTTGTTGTAAGGACTTCGAATAGTTTTTGTCCTTTATAGAAGCGCTGGGGTAGACGTGTTTTCCTGTAATGATATGCTCTCCAATTATCTGTCGAATAAGTTCGGATGAGTGCAGATCTTTTTCTTTCAGAACACTCAGAATCAGTCTATTCGTCGACAGAATTTCTCCAATAATGGCAGAGAAGTAGGACATAAGCGTAGGCGTGGACGCCGAAGTCGAAAGCAATCGGAGGTCCACGGTTAGTAGAATATTGCTTTCGTTCTGGCTGCTCAATCTCATTGTGTTATTCATTTAGATATCATGATGTGTGACGAGTTTGCCGTTATTGAAGAAAGAAATCCGTTGGAGGAAAGCTACCCCCATTTTCCTGGTTTTGTTTTCGATCCTACCACCAGGAAGCACTTCAGGATAGCACCTGAGCATAGTGGGGTATGTTTGAGCGTCTATTTTCTTT